ATGGCTGCGTTCAGCAGACTCAACAATTGAGTAACCGCTCACTGCTACTGGCTGCATTCAACAAACTCAACAGTTCAGTTAGCACTCGCTGCTATTGATGTATTCTTCTAGATCTAAAATTTGGTTGGACGATCTAAATGAATACACCAATAACAGCGAGCGCTCACTCAACTGTTGAGTTTGCTGAATGCAGCCATTGATGTAATCTTCCAGATCTAAAATACTGATTGGATGATCTAAAAGAATACACCAATAACAGCCAATGGGAATCTCGATGCCCCAAGGTGCTCCAGCCTCCAATCGGTCACGAATGAAACTTGTCTGATTGGTTGGATAAATGGCGGGAATTTTTGTTTGTGCTTGAACTCTTCTACTTTACACTGAATTTGCGAATTAAAAAATTAATAAAATCGATGGGATAAGGTAGTTTAAACTTTAAAAAAATTTTAGTTTTTATAAATACTTTCCTACAAGCGTTGTTGCTTCGAAATTGGTACATATAAATGAAATTTAAAAGCAATACACAGCTTGCGCTTTTTTTGTTCTTTAAATATATAAGAAAAAAAAACTTGATGTTTCAAAACATCTAAAAAAGTTTTATTGGAATCAGTTTTTTCGTGTGAATTAGTTGATTACTCAAAATAATTGAGTAACAAATAAAAATATGTAAAGGAAAAATGTAAGAAAAACGTAAAAAAAATATTATGTAAAATAAATTTTAAAATTATAAGAAAATGGAAAGATTTGAAGAGAAGCAAGATGAAATTCATCTTGCTTAAACTAATTTTAGGCAACTTGTAATTTTCTGTATCATATAACGCGAAAAATTTTTAAAAGATATATAATTAAAATTGAATATAACCTTTATAAATAATTTTATTATAAATTATTTTTAATTAATTATTTCAATTAACTAAAAGAAAAATTAAAAAAAAATTAAAATACATTATATATCAAAATACGTAGCATACAAAATTATAAGTAGAATTTTATAAAATTTGACATGAATTTAGAAGCCTAAGGACTTTAAACACATATACATAAATACACAATCTATAGCTTTAACGTTACATTTTGTTCTTTGTACAATACAATACGTTAACATTGGAATATGGCGCACAAATAATATATCAATTTATATTATAGGATCCATATATACTTATATGTAATAGTATACTTATTACGGCATATAATATACGTAGTGCGATATGTATATGCTTTAAAATACTATACAACTGCTGTGTTACTGTCGAAATGCATGTCTAAACAATCGTGTAATTAAGTCAGCGACGATACGTCTTCCTTATTTTGTCATACGAATTGTTGTACACAATTCTATTCGACTGAAAGTTGCCCGCCAAGAGTAGAAAATGGCAAATGTAGTGACTATATAGCGGTCGCGATTCTGTCGACAATTTGCAAACGCTAGCGCGGTCAGAGAGGGATTCCAATTTAAACTTACATATATTATATATAAACTTATACTTACGTATGCAAACTTACATACTGCCGTTAATTAGAGTTAGTAGAGAAATCTGTTTCAAAAATCTTAAATACTTAATCTATATCGTTTATTTAATTTTATTAAAAAAGTTTACTCCGATATGTTTCTCTGTAGACAACAGATTTTCGTCTCGTTAATCTGAGTATGTTTTCTTTTTCCCTTTTTCTTCTTGCAAATAGACGACAGAATTACACATACACAGGCAGCATAGACGCAGGAGTGACATAACGGATTGTCTTATATGCTATGTGCATGTTTTATATATATGATGTATAGAAATCACGAACTCGTTACATATACTCTGTAATTCCTTACTAACTCTTTGTATCGCAATATTGTTTCTTATATGTTATAAAGTACTACTACATACGCGGTAAAGTCGTTTAAGCAGTTAAAGAATAGAAAATCTACTGTATAAGCAGAATATAATGTAACAACATTGTACTCAATTCTTAATAGTCTCTTGAGTCTCTCTTTTTTTTCTTCCGATTTTTTCTTTTTTTTTTTAATCGCGTCGGCCGAAAATATTTCAACGAACCTATTTGCTTTCGAAAGCATATAGAAATCGTATTGCGATGAGGAATTTAAATGCATCAACGTAGACCGTATTCGTCATATACTGTAAACTGTTTACGCATCAGATTGCTACATCTGCGATAACGCTATAAACTACACGTACTTATAAAATATTATATCTATATATTTATATATATATTATATATATATACACATATACGTACACGTATCTAATGCAAATAACGCAATAAATAACATCTGCCCGAGCTGCCTCCGTTCCATCCTGCACTTAAAAGACGTGTCTTGTGCTTTATAATTAACTTAAAGGATACATGAGGTAATAAGTTCAAAGATATACGCTATGAACGATGGATATAGCTACGCCTCGAATTGCAATGTAAGAGTTTCGTCTTCAAGCGTTCGAAAGAGACTCGTTTGGTATGCATGCTGCACAGAAGTCCATATTCTTCTTCCGATGCATGCATACGCTACTACGGTCTTTTGTTCGCAATCAGTGCTATTGACAATATAAAACGGATGAGAATAATGATCGGTACACGTAATAATGATAAGCCTTAGTCGAGCCGTTCTCTATCACGTTAACGCACACTCATTTCTCTTTATTTTTGATGAATAACTAATGAAACACTCACAAATGGTTCGTAAGACTCAAACAAGACTTGTACGCCACTTCAGCCATGCGCTATCGTTTTAAACGATTAATACTTAAAGAGCTGTCCGCAATAAAGTCCTTTATCATAAATGAGAAAAAAATTTACCGTCGTTATAACAATAAAGTGTAAAGCTAAAATTATAAAGCGCTTTACATATAGCTTAGATTCGTATCAAATCGGTAAATACTAAGTAAATTATTCCTTCCTCATGGTGTGTGCCCTCACGCTACGCATATCGAAAATTTATGACATGCATAATAAAAGTGGCAGATTTCAGTATAAATATATATATGTATATATTAGTAATATACGCGTGGATTATATTATAAAGTGAAAGAAAAAGAGAAAGAGGAAAGAGAAAGAAGAAAAATAATAAAGATGATGTGTGTGTGTGCATAAAAATTAATATAAAATAAACTATTAGCATCTCTTATATAATATATACATTTACAGAAAGTTTATTCTCTGAAGATTTTTCTATAATAAAAAGACAAGAAATGTTAATAATATACAATTAAAAAAACGACTGGAAAGAGATACGTAAGCATATATATTATTTTGGAGTCTCTCATAAAATTGCTTGAAAACAATTGTAACTATACAATAGGTCTCTATGGAATTGTAATTGTTTTCGCGCAAGAATATGCTGCAAAATAAAAAAGAAAGCTTTTTAAACTTTCTCGAAGTTTGAATTATTATCTTGAATTATTATGATTTACATAATTTTACATAATTTACATATGTATCATTTTTTTTCCAGTCCCTGTATTGTTTAAGAAAATAGGGGAAAAATATTGATAATAGACTAATTTGTAAATATTTCTTTTTTAATTATTTAGACATTTAAAAGTTTTGAGTTACAAATGCACAGGCTATCCCAGCAGAAATATGTTGGACGGTATTATTTAAATGCTTTCAAACATATTTATGTCTGCTAGCATAATGTACTACAAGAAATAGAATATATGTTAGCCTTCAAGTTAATGAAAGAGATGTTCAGTAAAATAATTGCAAAACTAACTTTCTATTACATAACATTACACACACATATTATCTATTCATAATTTATCCTTTTTTATAAAAGTAATCTTTTTCTTGATAATTTTACGTAAAATGTTGGTAGCATGCTAACAATTTGTCAATTAATTTCAAAAATATTACGATAAATTGACGTCCATATTTTGTCAGCAAAATCTGTCAACATTTGATAATTGCCAGAAGAAATAATTAGAAAACGATAGATTCTGCTCAGTTTCTACAGTTAATCCACCATCACATTCTGTTGGCAAATTTTATTTCTGGTGATATTTGTCGAAAAAATGTATAGCAAACTTTTGCAAAATCCGTTTTCAATAAATTTGGCTAAGTTATATATATATATATATATAAATATATATATATATATATATATATATATATATAATAATTTTTTTCTATTTTTAATAACCTCTACTAACAGTTTCAAAATATTATTTTATTTAAAATCTCTTGAATAACAATAATACTCTATAGTGATATTTTCTCTAGGACAACCTGTATAGATGGAAAATCAGATTAACGAAACTAAATATAACGTGTGATATGTTTGTCAGAAGAAAATGAATTAAGAGGAATAACGAAGAAAATCATTATTCTAAAATAAATTCGACATCGTGTTGCGTGTGTATTAGATAGTGTCCGGAATATCGGGGAAAGTCCCAATGTAAAGCTGATATTTTACGAATGGAAAATTTGATCGGGCACTATCCTATTAGGCAAAGTTTTTATACATAATGTTAAAGCTTCAAAGTGCAGTTAAAAATTAATTTGTTTGAAATTAAAGAAAAATTAAAGCTTTTATGTCTGCGCCTCTAAAGTTTAGAATTTTCGACTGCAAATATACTGGGGATAAAGCTAAGAGAAATATTATATTATTCATTTAATATAAAATAAACTTTGATAATTTCTCTATTTGGCTCCTTCTAGTCATTTTATCTATTAAATATAAAATAATTATAAAGAAAGACGTGGAGTCTACTCAAACTTTCTTTAAAAACAAATTGAATATAAACTGTGTATGTGTGTTATTTACGCGAATAAAGAACATAAAATTCATGTTAGAATTGTTATCTCTCAAATTCGGTGATGAATATGATATATATTCTTACGAATTTAATTTATGGATAATGTGTCGCCACGTTATAAATTGTGTTATAATTTAAATTACAGTAAAAATATTATACAAGTGTGTATATAAAATTGTCCAAGATCATGCGAAATGTAGGAAATACAAAAACCGAAGCTAATAATCAAGCTAATAATGGTCCCGAAATTGTCAGTATAAAGATTAACCTTTAAATAAGAAACAAAAAATTGTCAGTATAAAAATTGACCCTTAAATAAGAAATAAGATCGAAATGCGTACTTCTTTAACAAGATGTTATCCTACATCAAACTAATAGTAACTCGAATACACACCCATCTAATAAACAGATTATATCTACTTCAGATATTTCCGAACGACAACGAAAACCGACGAATTCTTCGACCAATTTTTCGAGTCGATTATTTCTTATGAAAAATTGGTCTTTATATCAATGGACACGTTTTAAGTTACTGTAATATCGTAAATTATTCATTCTCTTCAAAAAGCGGACTAGCTTTTAAACAAATATAAAGCATTACCTAATACAAACTGCTTCCTAATTTTCTCCAACTGCTGATTTGTATATACAAACCAAAAATTCTGTATAAAAATTTAGATAAATTATGAAATTACCCATTTCGCTTCCCATTAAGTATCTTAATAATAAAACTTCAATTATATTGAAGCTTCATAAGAAATTAAAGTTTTCTTATCTTATTTATATGTTATATTTGTATAAAAGATTATTCAATTTAAACTGCTGATACTTTGTGTATCCAAGTTAGATTGGTCGAAGAATCCGTAGGGTAATTTTTTTTTACGTTTAGCCAAAAACGCCCTACCAAAAACCCATTCATAGGCTTGTATACCTTCTCGTATGCGCGTGTGTTGAACTGTGAGAGCAGAAAAAGAAAAAACGAATCACCTAGAGAACAACATCGGGCAGGGAGCAATGCCACTAGGCTAGCTGCGTTCCACTTCGTCCAGCGTGATGTCCCATGCCAATCATGGAACCGCCACTTCCTATGTCATCACGAACTGTTTTCTTTTCCTTATAGTAAATCTCTTCACTTTCCTTCTCACACAACAGCAATACTGCTCCTCCAACTAGGAAAATCACCGCGCCCCAACCGACGCCGTACGCCCAACCGAATTCCCAATTGGTTCGGTTTCCTAAAAAAAAAAAAAATTATATTAAGTAAAAATTGATTCAAAGATATTCAATACAAATAAACAAAGATCATATTTAAAAAAGTGGACGTAGGATAAGGTAGAGGAAAACATATAATGTAAGTCGTAAAAAACTTGATACGATTTCCATCTACATAATTTTTCACGACTTAAATTATATGTTTTTCTTGGCTTATATCCATGGCCAGTATTTATAAACATATTTTAAAGTACATCTTGAGACATCATAAGCCATAATCACAAAATCATATTACCATCTTAAAACATTACTTATAAGACTAAATATACTTTATAAATTCGATAATACACAGTACGAGAATAATAACAGTGTATCCTTTCATCTTTCCTTTTCTTTTAATTTAATCAAATGAAACGAGAGATGTGTCAAAAGCTTACCGAGATTCAATTCTGCTGCAAAGCATATAGGATATATGATCAGTGCTATTAGGAGGGACACCACTGAAACACATACACAGACGTGAGATGTAGTTATAAAAAATACCAAACAAAAAGTAAAAAAGAGACAAAGCGCTCGTGTAACACTCACGTGCAATGCCCATGCAGAACACTGCAAATCTATAATATTTATGTTTGTCCCTGTGATCCTGTGTGCGCAAACCCAAACCAGTGAGAATCGTCGCGGCGATGTCCGTCAGAAGACACACCACACACAAAGCCGCAGCTGCCTTTATATAGGCTGTAAGGTAAAACCTCAGATTACACAATTAAGCCAGACACTAGTTTGATGCTTAGCAAAGAAAGGAATGGTACCGCTGTCCCTGGCTGCGTAGCATCCCGGGGGATCGGGCATGTTGAAGGGAAGTGGTGTTGGGGCGCCTTCCTCGATGCAGTGGGCGAACAAGCCCTGTCTCCATCCCAGGGCCATCAGCCAGTCGGTCGACGCCAAGCCCATTATCATCAGCAGCACCACTATGATCCCGCATATAAACGCGATCACCTGCAAGAAGACGGGCATGAATGTAACAAAGCGATTTCGTCAGTGTTCACTTAAACGCTATCACGCATCCAGGGTATCGTGGGGGAGAGACGTCTTTCTCTCTCTCTCTCGAGGAAACATGATACCTGCGCGATCTCGTTGTCACCCATGTGATCCTCGGCGACTGTATACATAATCATTTCACTTCCGAGTCCGCAATCACGAATCCGTGGAGAGAAACACGCGCGAGTCAGCGGCGACCGGTCAGGGCAAGGGGAAAGTTTCTCCTTTGCGACGTTTCCTTCAAAGACGTACACGCGACGACGACACGCTCCTTTTCGGATGACGCGCACGAGACATCGTCTGCTTCTCGGTACTTTCTTGACGTCGGCGACTCACGAAAGGGACGCGGAGCGGCTAGAAGATTACAACCCACCCTCTAGCACTCTCTCTCACCAAAAGGCACCGAGATACGCGCGTCGTGCCGAGGGTTCCGCGCGACGATCGTGAAGTCTCGTAGATGGTGGGGAGAAGGGTTGATTAACAGGCTCGGGGGTCAATGGCTTTCGTCGCGCTGGTGGACCCCGCAACGTATTATCAGACGAGGGCAACCCCCTATAACGCGCGCCGCACGGGTTGTTTTCTCTCCCTTTTTTTTATCTCTTCTTTTTTTACTCCTTTTCGTCTTTCTCGCGAAGCGGACGGATCGCAGATCGATGGCAGTGTTCCGGGGTCGTGGCCCCCTCCCCTCCTTCGCGACGCGAACGATTTTTAATGACAGTAATACTTGAACAGAAGGAGGGAAAGGGAGAAAGAGAGAGAGAGAGAGAAAGGGAACCGCGTCTCAAGCGAGAACGACTGACTCTCCGCGACTGGGATTGGGGAGGGAAGCAATCGGATTCCAGGTTCCAGGGAGGCTGCGCCCATCAGCACCCATTAAAGGTCGTGGCGCAGTGCGCGCGAGCGCCAATCTCTGCGCTCTCCCGCTCTTCCTTCGCCCTTTCTTTCTCTTCGGTTATTTTTATTTTCTCTATCTCCTTTTCTCTCATTCCATCCAATCTATCTGTCCCTTTCATGTCCTTCGAGTTATCTATAACTCCTTGCACGCATTTATTCATATCTTATCGAATGACAGTATAAGTAATTTATTAGTACAAGACATTATTCCATCTTTGTATAACATTGGCAAACAATAACGATGTAATGATTCATTATGTTACACTGTATCTCTTACTGGAAAATACACATTATCTATTTTTGCAAAGTATACAAAAATTCTATGTTTTTATTGCATATTTAATATAAAATTAGCTTAAAAATTGTATAAAATACAGAGATACAGTGGTATAGTCACGATTTATTTAATTAAAAGGATTAAATTGCAGTCTGTATGTGTCATACATTAAATTCTCTGTAATTACAGGACAACTCATTTTTTTGTTGTTGAGACACTCTAATGTGAGTTCAAATTGGAGTTACAAAAGTTTTTGTAGAAATAAATCTGTCATTATATTGTCATGAATAATTGCACTGCATCATCATTTTATAATTGCTTCTTTAAACTATCCTTTCATAGAAATTTGATCCTTTTTAATTATACACTTTAAAATCAAGCTTTTAATTTAAGTATCGCAACTATTTTATCCCATAAAATACAATATGATGATAATTTATAGAAAAAACAATCAAATCTAACATTTAATATAAATTTTAGCTTTAAAATCTTAGAAATATAGATTAGTATAGGAATTTATGATTAATTTCTGCCTGCAGTAAAAAGAAAAACGCTTTAAACTTACCTTAAGTGGTCTGGTTACAGTAAGAGTTTCGATAGTGGTCGTTTGAGGCATTCTATTTGCACTGTAATAAAAAAAAATTCGTAACTAAAAGAAAAACGGTGCAAAGGTTTCTATACAAACAATTTTCAAATTATTGTGCTTAAAGAAAAAATAAAACGCTACAGTAGAACTCCATTTATAAGAACTTTTATAAAAATAAATTTGTGCTCAGTTCCAAACATACAAATCCTAGTTCAGGTAATAAGATCTCGACATACTTCTGTTTTCGAACATCAGCTCTATTATCAGAACAAATATTAGTAGAAAAGATCTGTTGAGCCTCTATTATTCAAACTATTCGGTTATCGCAACTGTCTCTCGACATGTTCATATAAATGGAATTCTACCGCATTTCACTTAGGCAGGGCTAGGGTAACTGTCCCTATTAATGTGTCTTTTAGCCAACTTGCTTATTACTGAATTAATTATTAAATATTGTAGCTTTAATTTTATCTGCTTGCAATTAATATCGGGTTTTTAACTTTCTTTTTCTTATAATATTTCTTTAATCTAAAAAATGTTAATACTTTATAATGTTTTTGACAAAAATAAAAAACATGTTTTTGTCCCTATTAGTTGTGCCTCCACTTTGTGTGCCTATCCACATTTGACTTATTTTAACATATAGTTACTAAAACAGGTAATAAATTTAAACTAATTGTTTAGGTTTTTTATAAATATTACATAAATCATTATTTCAATTATATGATGCAGTTGTGTTTCTTGTCTTATTTTTAATATTTATTGTTATTTTAATAATACTTGACTTTATTGTTTGACTTACATTTTGTCTCTGACTATCGTCACCACAAGACCGTTTTGTCGATTTCTAAGATAGATCTACATGTAAGTTATTTAAATTGAAGAAATTAATAATAAAAATAATCTTAGTTCAGAGTATTTGAGTATTATCTAATCGGTATTTCTGATTTGTCTTACGAATTGACTGTACAGTAAATCTGACAATTTGATGAGCGATGTGTCTCCACCGTATCTTTGTGATATAATGTATCGGACTTTGTCTTCACTTTATGTAAGTTCTTATGATTGTATAATTCTTTTTCAATTTTTCACTCGGAAGTTATACCATTTGACAAATTAATGTGTTAAATTAGTATTCAACATATTTGACTTAATGGAGGTAACTTTATTTTCGAAGTTGTATGTACTATATTTCTATGCAATACGTTATATATTTGATTTTCTTTTTTCGCAATTCATATTGTTGTAAATGCTTTATTTAATAATTGATGTAAACGGCGCGGGCGCGATATGATTTTTGTACTTAATTTGATAACTTTATTTACCGATTTTAAGTTACGTTTAGTGCATGCTAATTGTTAAGTTATATTGATAGCTATGGAATGCTGGTAAGATGTACGATATTGATAAGGAAATTTATTGTATAGCTTTTTTGGCAATTAGATAAAGAAGAATGAACTACATTATCACGGATTCCTACGTTGGAGTTACGAGTATTATATAATCGGGTTTAATTTGAACATATGTATATTGATAAGGACCCAAACATAAGGGTCGAAACGGATATTTTTTATGATATAATTTGTTAAATTCACAAGCAAATAAATTGTGCATCCGATTAACCGATGTCGGCTCTGATGGGCTAGCTTTTTATTATTATATTTGATATATTTTTGCGAGCCTTATTTCAGATAGTTGTCGAAAAATAAAATATTATCTTCGGTATCGTATGCATAATAATTTAACTTAACAAGAAAAAATATTTTTCTTATTTATTCGTGCTAGTTTTCTTTATGACTTATATCGAAATACAAAAACACACTAATAGGGATAGGCACAATAATTGGGACAGTTACCCTATTCAAAACCAAAGATATAATATAATACCAAAGATGAATATTTAAAGTGATCTATTAGGACGTCCATGGATTAAAAAACTATGTAGAAAGACTGTTTTAGATCAAATATAGATTTAATCACAATCTTACATTGCAAATATAACATAGACTTTGAATGGCATTTATGTATTCTTATTATTCATATACAGAATTAAATTTGAGTCATAATGCGACAGTAAAACTTAATATCTAATAACTAGTTTATATATTTTTCTAATATCTGATTCAATATATATTTTTTATGGAATATATGCAGTCAAATCTAGGAATGTTCCAATTTTCAAAACATCGATCTTTCTAAATAACAATAGCGATTTTAAACTGATCTATTTTGTGAAAAATTAATTTTTCTAACTAAAAAAAGAATTATTTTAAACCAATCTCTTCGCAAAACATCGCTTCTTTTTTAACAAATCGATTCAGAGATCGCACATCCTCAGTCAGATCTCTAATTGTTTCAAAGTTGAATTATAAAATTTCAGAGGAAAAAAGCAATTAATATTTCTCGGAGATACTGCTTTAAATATTTCACATACTTACGTGATTAATTGTATTTAAAAATATGTAATTTGTGTGTATACAGAACGGATACTAAGTATATACTATAAAAGATTTTAAGGGGATCCTAAACCAACAGGAATTACCGACAATTGCAGATTGCCAATTTCTCCGAATTGGCTTTATAGATCACCAAATCCTTTAATAGAATAAAAGTATGCACAAAAAAAATACTGGCCATACTAAATGTGACGTAAAAATCGGAGAAAAATTTAAAACTTCATTTTATTTCAGCTCTCAGCTGTCACCTCAGGTTATCATTCCCTTATGCCCAATTTCTTCACTTCTAGATAAGTTGCGGATAACCTTATCCAGGAGATATCTCCATTGTATTTTGGGAGATATCTCTTGAATAAAGTTATCTAGAGGTGAAGAAATTGGGCATTAGTGTAGAAATTCTATACGTTGTACGTACCAAATATCTTCCTTGGAAGTGCATGACATGCACGAACAATCCTGTTGAGTTTGATGATAAATTGTGGCCAAAGACCTAACAAAAAAGATTTTCCAAAATTAAAGTCATATGATAAGAGTTATGTTTATAAATAAACATAACAAGATATGTGTTTATAAACATAAAAAAATTAATTAAATCGTGAAATACTCAATACATGTTATTGTACTATCAGATAAAATATGTATTTCATAATTCGAAATATTTACATTTTATTTTTAAACTCGAATTAAATCAACATAAAACAAGTTTAGTACGTACCAGTGTGCTCAGGTTTAGTATCCACTAATGCTTCCAATTGAATTCACCGTTAATCACACCTTCTACAGTTAATATATTTGTTCCCTCCCTGAAGAATTTGAATTTATGTTAAAGTATGCAAGAAATATAATTAACCCTTACAAAGTCAGGTCACCGAGCGATTCCTGTATGTGCAAGTTTTTTTGAGTCTTTCGGTAATTATAAATTATACTACATTTTATTATTTTCCAAAATAAAGTTTCAATATTTATTCTAAAAAATTAGAAGTATGTTGGTGAATTTTTAGAGATTTTTTTAACCATTCTGAATAGATGAAAAAACCAATGGATTCTAGTGATCCAGTTTGGACAGATGAGGTACTAAATTATACCTTGTATTGTAAGGGTTAAAAGAAAATACACTTATCGCCTTCTTCCTTACATAATTAGAATGCTGGCAAAGTCGACGGACATTAGTAATAGTAAATAATAATACATGAAACTATTCATGCCAAACAATTAGTTTAAAATCGGAATCAACAACATTCACACAACTGGACTCTCAACCAAACAGATGAAAGTACAAAAGATCAAAAACTCATGTGCCAAACGTGATTTCGACGCGAATTGACGTGAATTGTATCGAGAGGAAAACGAGCAAAATCGCGTCCAATTGAACTCGTTCTCACGGAGAAAATTATATGTGAGCACGTTGCTCGTACCTTGTAAAAAAAAACCTCTCTCCGTCCCACCTCGCACGTGGCATTGGCACGCAATGTCTGTCTTAATTTCGAGAATATTTGGATGCCCGGTCAGCCCGGTCTATTCCAGGAAACTCGGATCCGGAATGTAAGCTAGATTTTCTCTTTGAAAGAATGTGCGTTAATTGTCCGTATTGCTTCGTCTTTTCATCGACCTATCAGTTGTCACTTCTATTGTCACAATCTCGATTACGATCACTCGTCATTCTCGTCAACTACACTTGTTGGAAGAATTTACAGAGGTTAGAAAGTCAAGAGAGTGTGACTCAAGGTTTACTCAAGATAGTCAAGATCATATTTAACATCTGGTCGACACCTCACACACAATCAATGAGTCATTTTAAAATAATTCCATATTTTGTCATTAGAACCATTCGTGAATAATGGTGCGGCCACAATAGAAGGAATAAAGAATTAGGAATAAGGAATAAAGATTCCAACCTATCAGAAACTGTATATTCCAGTGTATCCGATATCTGATAGGTTAAAATCTTTATTCCTTATTCCTAATTGCTTATTCCTTTTATTGTGGCTGCACTTTAGGGCCTGCCCACAATAGAGGAACAGGAATTAGATATTAAGATTTCAACCTATCAGAAACTGATTACATCGGAATACACGATTTCTGATAGGTTGAAATCTTAATATCTAATTCTTGTTCCTCTATTGTGCGCAGGCCCTTAATCAACGCTGCATTCGATCATCTGTACTCATCATCAGCACTCATCTACACTATAGTGGAATTATAGGTCTGTTTTTTTGTGGCTGAACTAGTGTACACTTTTGGAACTTAAGCTGGAAACACAATAGACACAGGCAATAGGCACAGGCAATAGGGAATAACGAGCCGTCCAATCAGAGTCTGGAATATAATATCGAACTTATACCCCAAAGCTCTGATTGGATAGCTCGTTATTCCCTGTTGCCTGTGCCTATTGCCTGTGTCTGTTGTGTTTCCAGCTTTACAGTGGAATAGATATACGTTTGATATTTGTTTAAAGTGGGAAAGAGAGTCCTAGAACAGTTTAGTGCAGGAACAGAAAATAAACCAATATGTAGGTATGTTTCTTATTGCTGTATCTTCTGAACTGGTACATATACACAGTGCAATGAGTTGAAGTGAAACAAAAGATTTGTTCGCGTCGGGGGTTTGTAATTAAATTTTATTGTAATTTTTGGGTGTTACTGCTTAGCGTAATAAACATAATAAAAAACAGCTACTATAATTATATATTGAGAAATGGGTTCTTCCTTGGCTCCTTAAGTCCGGATCTACAATAGGGTTTTAAGCCTTAAACCATAAGAAATGGGCAAATCACAGTCGCTTATTCTTCTCGGATTCGACTGTAATTGGTCAATTTCTTACGGCTTAAGGCTTAAAACACCTATTGTAGATCCGGACTTGTTCTCTGTTCTCTGTTCCTTTTACCCCGAGGCCCGTATTCAGAACGCGCTTTTATCGATAAAAGCGCACTTTTATCTCTGAAATTCTATAATATACGTGACGTAAAATATAATATGTTAGCGTGCTAACATCGTAAGCGCGTTCTGAATACGGGCCCGAATCTACAATATAGCTGGATTTTCATCTGACGCTACGACGCTCATTTTCAGCGTCAAAACAGGTCACGTGATCAAAATTGACGCTTGATATTCGTCAATTTTGATCACGTGACCTGTTTTGACGTTGAAAATGAACGTTGTAGCGTCAGATGAAAATCCAGCCTATAGGTGTTTTAAATCTTAAGCCTTAAGAAATTGACCAATTACAATCGAATCCGAGAAAAATAAGCGGCTGTGATTCGCCCATTTTTTATGATTTAAGGCTTAAAACCCTATTGTAGATCCGGATTTATTGTGCGGAGCCACTAATGGTACGTATCCACTGAGAGCGTCACGCGTCGCGTCATCCATCGCGTCACGACGCGACGCGAAAGAGAGAAAGAATGAAGTTTATACCCCTCTCTTTCTCTCTTTCACGTCGCGTCGTGACGCGATGAACAACGCGACGCGTGAGGCGTCGTCTACAATACACGGAGTAAAAAGTAAAAGTAAAGCCAGCGGCACACGATGCTTTTTTTCCTGCTGGATTGCTTGCGTGCTACTGTGCTAGCAATCTGACTGGCTG